GACGACGAGAGTAATGCCGAGAGTGAACGTACGCACGGAGACACAGACGGCTCGCGGGTGGCGAGAGTGAATGCCGGCGCGGAGAGCGGTGAACATCGGTCCAACGTCGCTCCAATATCGGTCCAACGTAACGGTTGACCCTGTATCTGAGCCGTTGCGGCTTACGCAGAACTATAGCATCTACTCCAATCTGCGCAAGTAGTAAAGTGATCAAAGCTATATCCCACCGGTGATAAGCGTTATAATATATTACAAATTGAATGTTTCTCTGAATATCAATTTGTCCTTCTTCAACTGTTCCGAAGTGGGTTCAGGTCATCCAACTCGGTCTTCTTTTGGATGTTGAATAACGTCAATGGCTAATGCCTCGGCACAACCACAGTTAGATCGATCACAAGTGGTGTGTAAGCCAGACCCATAGAACGACTCGACTTTTGTTAACCTATGCGGAGATCTGAATTCCTACAAGCTATCGCCTTCAGTTGAAGGAATCCTTCGCGGAAAATTCTTGCATTCTTTCTCAACGCAAATGTTTCTGTTGTGATCAATGGAAACAGCGCTAGCAATTGTGAAAGATGTGCGACGGTACTTTGAACGCGTAGCAACCTTTCGAGTTTTTCGAATTTTTTACCAAAACAAAGCAATTTTTCTGTTCTTTTCATTCTTATCGTGGATAATGAGTCTCAAGCCAGTGATTTATGGCTGAAATAGAATCATGATTTTTCCGTGAAGGATTCCTTTAATGTTCTAAAGCTCGAGCTATTGAAATTCGAAGGAACAATCAAGATTCTAGTAGACATGTCCAAGTCGCCTTCCTGGACGGCAACCCTGGCTTACTCCACTAATTCCCTTTTCGGAATCAACATATCAGACCAAGCATGGCTCCGACAGAAACTATTCAATGCTCTGTGTTTACCGTGGGAATCTCCCCTACACTACTTCCTCCATGCTTAAACAGCATAGATCCTTCATCTCAGCTCTCAAACTAATTTGTGTTCATTTTGTTTACCTTCATTGATAGTCGTAAAAGTAATTAGAATGAGAGTTTTGCCTACATGCAAGTTCAACAACACAAGTTTTGGGACGGCATTTAAGCCATCCTCTCACACAACTATTGCACATCACCCCATGTGTCCGCCGAGTCATGCTAAAGGGGAGTGTTTCGTGAGTTCGGGTAGGAACAGTACAGGGTGGGGCAAAATTACTGGTGCACTTGCATTTCGATCTTTTTCGACTTTCCACAAATCGAGTTCAATTACAAATGTTATTTACTAAATGTGACTTTTCTGACCTGAATTTCTGGTTTTGAAAGCGGCTTCTTCAGCTTCCACCCAAATCTTCAGATGTTGACCTTGCTCCCCATGCGGCACGCAAGTGGTGATCATCGATTTCGTCCCAAGATTTCGGTTGCTATGTTACGACAAAGTTTATGTTTGCATGCGCACCAGGGCGGTAAATATAGCCGATGCTACTGACAGAAGATGACTCCATGAAAAGATGGAGCATGCCCATTCGTTATGGTTTCTACAGGAAAATCCTACATGTTTTTGCCGCAAGCGATGTTAGAATCAACAAACAAGTGCACCAAAATATGACAGGAAACGTTCTCAGACATGGGTTCATACCCGCTTCGAAGAGGGTTGCTGGGGCTTCCTTTGCACGATTCCTTTTCAACTGGAGTGGTCCAGGAACGGTACGCCCAACAA